TATAATCAAAATTGGGGGGGGGGGCGGGGAAGGACCTCCCATTTAGAGTTCTAGTATCCTAGACACCAACGCTGTTGTTGATACGGTGTCCACACATACAGAAGCCCAATTTTCATGACATGCCTTAACAGGGGTAACAGCTTTACCAAACCATGAAAGCATGTGGGAAGGTGGGCGTGAGGCAGCTTTTGATTCTAATTAATATGGGCAGTACACGTAATTTTATGGATGAAAAGGTTGCTGATCGTTCCCATCAAACCAGCACCTTTGCATACGTGAACATTGAAAAAGAGGCAGCAGGGATGTATACAGAAGAAATATTTACATTATTTCTGGAGAAATTATTATGTGGTTTTCCCTATCATCATGAAATAATTTCAAAAGTTGAAAGAATTTTCACATTTTTGTTTTGGAAGGGAAACAAGCAAGCTTGTCGATTATTTGAATTTCATCAAATAATCTGGCCTTCAGCCTCAAACGATAAATAGTTCGTAGGGCACCAAACTAACCAGGTTTGCTTGTTCTTCAACAATCCCACGGTCAGGTTCTGAAAAACACTACGAAAAAAATGCTGGGTTCCAAACACACCAGTTTTGGCTGCACACATTATCAATTTCTAACAATATCAGTTTGTCTGTAAAAAGGTGGCCTTTGACATACATTGCCTGCTCATGAGGGTCATAACTAAATACAAACAAATCTCATCCTTCTTAAATTGGCCGTCCAAGTATCTTTCCGACATTGACTACATAAGTTACTACAACAAATGCCATACCTGGGCTTCAGATAAGCAGAAAGATTGTAGCACAAAAAAGAGGGCTAAGACAAATTAGCAATCAATCACCACTCGCACAGCCTCCACAACCACAATGCACACACTCAACAACCTTCTCTTCCCTAAGATGCTTTGGAACCCTGCACACACAAGTCGTGCCAAAGTTGTGATCCCTGGGCTGGATGCAGCGGAGACAGCACAATCGTTCATATCCTGGCTGTAATTCAAACATAGAAACTCAACATCAACAGGTTGTCAAATCTTCACGCATCAGACATTCATAAATTGCACACCCAAATGCGAAGTAACAGAATTCAAACATAAAAGCCCTAAAGAAACAGAAAAAAACCTTCTTCCATTTCGCAATTAGGTTACGATCCCCATAACCCTGGTCCAAACAGAACTCATAAAGCTCCTTCGATATCTCATTCCTTCTGTAATAAAGATCGTAAATATATCGGCTCTTTTGATGTGTAATTTTGAAAATGGGCCACAGAGCCTCACACTTTCTCTTGCCGTCATGTGGATCAAGTTCAGCTGCAATAAAAATAAAAAAAAAACAAAGATCCCTTCAAAAAAAAACATAGCAAATTAATTAATTAATTAATAAAAAAATAATTGAACACGTAATCAACCTTCTCTCATCTTCCCATCCAGTTCGCGAAGCGTAGGCTCGATTAACTCCCATCCCTCTGGGTACTTGATCCGGCTTCTCCTTACTTTCGGCATTTTTACACTGTAATTCACTGCCTCAGTTAAAAACCTAAAATTAAATTTTAGATTAACAAATTTGGGTTATTTTTTATTATAAGAACTGAATTAGGGTTAGTAATTGAGCTTTAAAAACAAAACATGAATTGATTAATAATTTCAAAAAAAAAAAAGCAAGGAAATTCGAAGTTTGTGAGAGGGATTCAATAGAAGACAACGAATTCAAATTAGCTTACCGCAGCTCTGGATTTGATTAGGGTTTCCTCAATAATGCAAAGGAAGCCACCAAAGCGATAAGGTTTCCTTTTTGCTGAAAAATAAAATAAGAAAAATTATTTAGTCTACTGGGCCTCAAGATGGATCCACCAACAAATGGGTGCCAGTTTATGGGCTTCCGGATCTAATAAAATCACACGTGTCGTTGCCAGTTATCCTTGTGGTCTCTAGGCCCTAGTTATTTGAGCAAGGTTTCAAAGATTTTTAAATGGGAAACGTCCCGGTATCATATGACAAGCGCGGAAAGGGCCCAACACCAATCCTTTAGTTTGGATGGGCCAATCATTGAATCACCTGTGTCGTGTCTCAATTAAGCAACCAAGCCATGAAACGCTGCCGTTACAGTTCCGACCAAGTTTTTAACTCCCAAGAAACTGAAGCAAATGTCTCTTCCTCTTCGGATCAGTGTCTGAAAACTGAAAAGAAACCATTCCTCACTCCCCTAGAGAGGGAGAAAGGATTTTTCCGTGGTAAATATTTTTCAGTTTTTATTTTTAGCAAGTGGCAGCACTTAAAACTGAGATGCTTTGTTGCTTTCCTCTCCAATTTCGTGCAAAAAATGGATTTTTTCTTTTAATCTCTCTTTGGAATTTTCTGGAGATTAAGAGATAATTATATGTAAAGCACGTTTTTTTTTGTTATTGAGTTTAATTTTGTGAATTTTTTGTGAGTTTGTGCTGTGTAGTCAAACCGGAATTAATATTATTATTACTATTATTAATTCATATGATTTTATCTATGATGAAGTGGGTTGAATTTGGTTTTTTGTTTATAGGTTTATTTATATTTCAAGTGGGGGATTATCTTCTAACCTGGTGGGTTCGAAGAAATTAAGTAGAAATAGTTTTTATAAGGTAAATGGCTACTTCAAAGACGGTTTTACAAGTGTTGTCTGGTGGTTTACCTTGCCCACATCGTTTTGATCTGTCTTTCGGCGGTTCGAATTCCGTGCTTTCGATCTGCTCTGATGTAAAACGTAAGAAGAATAGAGGTTTGGTATACAAAAAGTTGAACAATGGGATGAGATTGTTAGGGAAATGCACGAGTAGGGGTGTAGGTGCTGTGACGTCTCGTCGGAAGGTGAAATGTATTGACAGGTGGGAATCTATGAGGTGCAAATGCCAAAAGGCTGAAAGTTTTGGAGGGGCAACTGCAAATCAATGGAGCCCAGTTTCGCTTCCTCTAAATGGCGTTCACGGTGCCACGAATATTTTTGAAAGGGGAAGTTTAGCATTGAAGGGTAATGAAGAGACGCAATCGATTGAGGAAGAAGCATGGGATTTACTCCGTGCTTCGGTTGTTTGTTATTGTGGTAATCCAATTGGAACAATTGCTGCAAATGATCCAAATGGTACTAGCATTCTGAACTACGATCAGGTTTTTATTCGTGACTTCATTCCGTCTGGAATAGCTTTCCTTTTGAAGGGAGAGTATGATATTGTGAGGAATTTCATCCTGTACACCCTTCAACTACAGGTAATGTTATTTATCACTTCACTAGCTCCTTATTAACTATTTAAATTATTTTCTCTATGTTTTAGTTGTCTTTTCCAGGGTAAAGATCATTTTCTTGTTTCTTAAATTTTTTGTCTTTAGGCTGCAGCTGTTTCTGTGTTTAGGATTAGTACTGGTCTGCCAGTTTTTTCCTTTTTGTGGAAGATGGAACTTAATTAAGAAAGAAGAAAAGGTAATGTAGATGAAAATGAGATGGTAGGCATTTTCCAATAGGAACACAAAGTTCTAAGGCAATAGCATTTTGAATACAGTTGAATATCAGTCAGGTTATTCACCCTTTGAAAAGCATCAAGTGAAGAATGTTGTAAAGAAGCAAGAAAAGTACTTTATCCCTGATTAACTTTTTAGACCGATTGATTTTTAAAATTCTGGAATTTCCTTTCATTCTTAAGAAGTAAATCATGAAAACAATGAACATCATTCAAAATCTTACCTATCACTCCCTCTTCTAAACTCTTTGAACCAGTATGAGTTGCTCAAAAGTTTGTGGACAAACCCATTGCTCATGAAATATTCCAAAAGGTTGATTTGTCAAACTCCATACAGTGAATTTCACTGAAATGGCTGACTGCAAGTCTTCTTACTGTGGGACCAATATTATGTCAGTCAACTTTTTTTTTTTCTTTTTCAAAACTCCTCTTCCAATGATTTTCATGAACATGTCAACTGGGAAGCTTTAATCATTAAATCGGCAAATCTAGGGACCATTTCTCATGTACTGTTTAATTATTATTTCTAATGGAGATGATCTATCTTAAAAGTTATCCATCTTATGTTCTGATTTTTAGGTACCTTTTCTTGGAAGCTTGTTATGTTAGTTTTGTTTTATTGAGGAATATATGTTAGTGAATTTATGTTTTTTGAATTCATGCCGAGTAGGTTATGTTTCCTTAAAAATTTCGTTGAAGTAGAATAAGAATGAGTTTTATTTGTTTTATTTTAGGTTCTGTAAGTTTGCTAAGTAATTCTTTTGTATTAGAGTTGGGAGAAAACCATGGATTGTTATAGCCCTGGTCAGGGACTTATGCCTGCCAGTTTTAAGGTGCGCACTGTTCCCCTTGACAGTGAGGATTCTGCTACTGAAGAGGTATTAGATGCTGACTTTGGTGAAGCAGCTATTGGCCGAGTTGCTCCAGTTGATTCTGGTAAAGGAAATGATTTCAAGAAGTTGCCTATTCGGAACCGTCACTATTTTCTTTTCTTCTATTTTTTATTGGATTCTAGAACATTATGCATTGTGATTTTCTTGTCAGGATTGTGGTGGATTATACTGTTACGAGCTTATGGAAAATGTTCTGGGGATCTTTCAGTGCAAGAGAGAGTCGATGTGCAAACTGGGATGAAAATGATCTTAAGGCTGTGTCTTGCTGATGGTTTTGATATGTTTCCAACTTTATTGGTGACTGATGGTTCTTGCATGATAGATCGTCGCATGGGAATTCATGGACATCCCTTGGAAATTGAGGTTAATACTCCCAAAATATAAATGCTAAGTTTAACTTGTGAAAGTGAGGAATTTTTTACCTTTTGTTTCTTACCCAGTTCCTTTATTTTGCATCCTGTAGCTTTGGAGAACAATCATGTTTATATTACATTTGTTTTAAAATGCCAACTATTCTTGTGCTTAAAAACACAAAAAAAGAAACGAAAAAGGGGTAGTTGCTCTCGCTTTTATTTTAATCCCCAGACACATTTTGATATCTTGATCAGTCTAGAATTTGTCTAGCTCCAATTAATTTCCATTGCTTTTCTAGTCTTCTATTGGGACTTTTTTGCAGAATGTTTAGTCAGAGTTCAATCAAATTACTTGGGTGTTGGTCATAACTGATTGGGCAATGTGTATTGTCTTTTTCCATTATTTTACCCTTGGTTCATGTAAACATGAGGTTTCTAGATACTCTCTTTTCAGCTAATATCTATTAGAGAGTCTTCACCGGTGCAGAAGCAACTATAAGCTTGAAAGTTAGAAAGTTGTCTTGCATCCGGAATTTGAATATGATAGTCACTCATGTTATTTCATTATCTACAAGTGACAGATAAACTCAGTTGATATTTTTAGCCAACCTAATGCATACAAATGGTTTTGATCTGAAAGGAAGAGTGATATTGTGGTTCAGAGATCTTATGTGCCTGTATCAGCCTGCAAATTCAAACTTTGTGGTTTATAAATAATGCTTATGCCTCTTAAACTGAAAAATTGTGGCAAAATTTGCACATAAAATCGCCATTTTGCTTTTCCAGGCACTCTTTTATTCAGCATTACTTTGTGCACGTGAGATGCTTGCTCCAGAGGATGGATCAGCTGACCTCATTAGAGCTCTTAACAATCGTCTAGTTGCCCTATCATTCCACATCAGGGAATATTACTGGATAGATTTGAAAAAACTGAATGAAATATACCGTTATACCACAGAGGAATACTCTTATGATGCAGTTAATAAGTTTAATATCTATCCCGATCAGATTCCTCCCTGGCTGGTTGAATTCATGCCCAGCAAAGGAGGTTATTTGATTGGAAATCTGCAACCAGCTCACATGGATTTCCGTTTCTTTACTCTTGGAAACTTATGGTCAATTGTAAGTAGTCTTGCAACATTGGATCAGTCCCATGCCATCCTGGATCTTATTGAAGCAAAATGGGCAGAATTAGTGGCGGAAATGCCAATCAAAATATGCTTTCCTGCTCTTGAAGGCCAGGAATGGAGGATCATCACTGGCAGCGATCCCAAGAACACGTGATGCTTTAACTTCAATCTTTTGATAGCCTTGTTATTCTTTTGACTTTTAAGAGGTTTTTTTAGTTCTTGCTGCATATTCTGAACTTGTTATTTTGCTGCAGAGCCTGGTCTTATCATAATGGAGGATCTTGGCCAACTTTGCTTTGGCAGGTTAGTTTGGTGTTCTAAAGTTAAATCAAGGTTTAAAACCACTATTTTCTTAGAGCATGATATATCTAAGATGTACCATCTTCGTAGCATTTTCTTTATGGGAATCGTGAAACCCAATTCCTTAATCATGTTAACAAAATTTTGGGCAATTTTTAAACACTGTTGAATTATTCAACTACTTTTGATTGTGACACCTTTTCTTGAAATATTCCAATGCTGCAACTCTCGCTATTTTAGGAACATATTCTTTTTGAGATTGATATAACCAAATTTCTTGTTGGCAATCCTGAAATTGACTGGAATGGATGCTTAATGCAGAAGCATTTATTGTTGTTCCCAACAATGCCATGCCCTGTTTATATTTCTGTTCTCATTTGTATGGAATTTTCCAGAGGCTGCATTTCCCTTTGGCTCTTAGCATGATTGATTTCCATTTCTTTCTTCCCCAGATATTTGGTCTCTTATTGTGCCTGCCGTATAGATTTTCTAGGCTTTGTATATGCCACGCCCACTGATAGCATATGGTCAAACAGATAAAGGGACTTCAAATGCCAATTAACTTTGTTGCATGGCTCTGCAGAAGAGTTGCTGTTTAATGTTACCACAATATGCCACAGCCATAAGGCAGCTGATAGTTAGTTAAGCTAGTTAAGAGTCCTTGATCACATTTTGAA